AAATTTTCAAAATTTCATGAGCAGCGAACTGTGAAAAAGCTTACTTATGGCGATCTTCAGCAGAGAGTAAAAAGCTGACTTCAAAACCATTCGAAGATTGTATATATGCGTTTGAACAGTAACGCTGCAGTAGGGCCAGGGTATGCGTCACATTTTCTTCGAATTCCTTTATTTCATTTTTCTTCCGGAACAGCACTGTCAAATGGTATCCAGCACCTGGATTTAGTAAAATACACAAAATTTTCAAGTAATTTTTGCATTTACCATCTAATTTCTTTGTTTCTATTTTTAGATGAATTAAAAACAAGGATATATAAAGGACTAGATTATCAGCAGAGTGACCAACAAGATGACGCCGCTTTGGTGACTAAATGGTCACAAGTGCGCTAATGGCTGAGCCAGTATAGTTATTTGTTTTGTATAGTTCTGTCCAGCAGGCGCTTACTGCTAATGATTAGTGTTAAAATGTTTTCTGATTTCCGAGCCAGAAAATTTCCCGTCAAAAATTTCACTTGAGAACCTCACAGCTACTGCGCAGGTGGTCTGGACATTTTTGAGACGATTTTAATCTTATAGTAAGTAAGATTTGTTTTAAAAAATCGTCAAAAATTTTAGAAAATTTTGTAGTAAAATCTAAAAATTTAGAAAATCTCCCATCAATATTTTGATTCAGCTTTGTGACGTGGATTATTTCATGGTTTATTTAAAATTAGTGCAATTCGTTCACTGGAAGTGTATGCGCTATTTTTAACACGGTTTATAGCTGTTTACTAAATTACCGAATTTCTTTTTTAGAAATAGTCCGCTTCCACTGCATTCCAGCCTGCCATAGGCCATTATTGTTATTCGATCGCCTAAAATATCTGCTTCATCCATGTAATGTGTAGAGAGCAATATTGTCCGCAATTTCTGGAAATTTGAAAAATTTAGAAATTGAAAACGAAAGAATATTGTGGTAGATGCTATGGAAAAAGAAAACTTAGAAGAGACCTAGGAAAACTTACAAAAGCTAGTAAACTGGAAAGGAATGTATCGGCGCCAACTGGAATGTTTCTTTCGGAGCGATTTTTCGATTAATTTCATTCATAGTCGCCTAAATCTCTCTTAGAAGAGCTATACAACAACAGTTCGAGATCATTTTAGTCGTAGATAATCGTAGCGTTCAAACCTTCTCATTCTGCAGTAATGTCCATGTTTCATGTCGGGCATCCGGATCCATTCCAGATGTCGGCTCGTCTAACATCACCAGCTGCAATTCTTGTTGTACATAAAAAATGCAAATTTTCAGCAGAATTTCGATATTTTCACTTTGATACTTCGATCAGCTTTGATCGGCTGCGTTTCACAGGACTTTTTTTCCGGTTATACGGCTAACCACTCCTTCCAATTGCTTTCTTCAATTCTGCATTATGTCTGTTAGCCACCCCAATGGTCATTTTTAATCGCTAACTAAATATTTGAGTTTCTTCAACTAAAAGAAGCATCAGATGATAAAATCTTTTCCGAATTTTTCTGCCGAAAGTCAAGAAGAGATCCTTGTCAAATACTTATTACAGAAATTTATACACTTGGAAAATAATTGTAAAATTGAACCTCTGAGCCGCCAATTAAAGCGATTGCTAACGACAGTTTGCGCTTTTGACCACCTGACAAATATTGACCATAAACGTGTGCTTTGTTTGTAAGATTAAGCCTTTGCAATAAATCATCAGCTTCTTCTATCTTCCAAACGCGCCCTTTCAACTAAGAAAGT